GGCCTGCAACAGGCGGAAGCCCTCTGCAGCCGCTTGCTGCAACATGCGCTGCAGTGTCTTTAGTGTGCGACGCTTATTACTTTCCCGCAATTTTGTTCCACTACCAGCTCTCCCGCTGTGTCCCTTTGTGGGATGCTGCTCTTGTGCACGAACCGTCTTTGTAGATGATTCAATGGAAGCACTACTGCACGACCTGCATGGGATGCCGGCAGCATTTTGCGGCTCTACACTAAAGCGGAGGCCTGACGGTGCAACATGATCTCCACCATTGGCCCTCTTTACTCCGTTGAGCCATCCATTGTGGCCTCCTCCAGCCATATATCCCTTGACTAGCCTTGCTTCCTCCTGTTCGGCGCGACGTTGTTCTGCATCGTAATCTACCATGGCCGCAGTAGCGGCGTCCACAGGATTGAGTGGCACTTGGTAGACTGGCGGACCCGAGGGAGTGGTGGTTGTTTGCAGATGTAAATACCCTCCTTGCTGACCTCCCAGGCGAGCAGCGTCCTGTACGTCGTGTGTGTACAAGACAAGCCAAAATCTACTGCGGTGGGCCCATTCATTTCAATATAAGACACGTTTACACGCAAGCCAGGCCACTCAACAGCAGAACTACAAACTCTGTCGACGAAGCTGGCAGGGACGCTGGTACCTGTTCACAAATATATTCTTAAAATCAAACTCACTTCTGGCGCAACATAGGTTCCCTCTCCAGTTACAGCAAACGGGTCGTAGAAGCCTCCCGGTGGAGGGTCGGCTGCAAATATCTCCTGGAAATCATTATAGCCTTCACCCATCATTTGCAGAGCCTAGAGGAAGATAATACAACTCACGCGCCAGCAACACCCATCCAATGTTGCAAACAACGCTGCTTCCTCACGAATGGCAAACAACTGTGGACAGGCACTACGCAACTAACCACAAGTTACCCCCATTTGCATCGTTCTGTTCAAACAATGGTACGACAGGCAACAGCTTACGCCTTGAATAAGAGGGTCTGGCTCAACTCCATCTCCGGAGCTCGGGACATTCGAAGCTTGCACTGCGTCAAAAAAGTCATAGTCAGCCCTTGCAGAAGCGTTTGCATCCGCCATTTCTTCTGGGAAATTTGACCAGCCAATGTGATTTGCGGGTGGCCCAGGGTTGTGAGCTTCGTCAAGATGAAGCCTGGAGCAGAATAGAAGGAACAACAAGGACCTAAATGAGTTGTTATGCAGGCCCTGACACTGTCCACCACCAACACAATGAACACATTTGCATATACATATATATATATATATATATATATATATAGTTACGTTTGTGCATACGTTCACTGTGCGGGTGGTGGCAAGTGTCAGAGATTTATAATTAGTATATGACGTACATATAAAATTCGGCTAGAAAGACCATTGTTGAGATAAAATGTGGAGAAACACCCAATAGAGGCATCGTGAACATGCAAAGTGCAGCCTCCGTTTAATATTCACCTGAATTCTAAAAGGTCCAAATAAAATGTCAGCTTTGACAGCATTTCTTCTCGATGCTCAAAGGAAACGTCGTTGCCATTTTTGATGCGTTGCATGCGAATATGTTCCACTACATTCCCGACTAGGTCTTCGGCAAGCAGCTGACTGAAGGAGCCGACAAAATAAAACACCGCAAGGCACTGGAAATTCACGAATAAGTGCACATGTCTGGTGAGGTGTGCTGCCGTACTGCAAATCAAGCTCAACATCATCGCAAAACCGACGAAGTTAGCGAACACAAACGAACAGGGCGGCCTCAGAGAAGCGGGCTTATGGTGTGCAACTCAACACTCTAATGAATCCTTACCATTTCTTGTCGCGAATAGGAGTCGCAATTATTATATCCGTTTCAATGGGGTCTGCAGGCTCGGTGAGGAGCGGCCGCCACTTCCACAAGTCATCAAAGTCGTATGTGATGCAAGCAGGATGGAGGTTCTGCAGATTTCCCCAGAGCTGAAAATTGTTGAATACAACCTCAACAGAGCTGTATGGAACATACGAAAGCGTCGAGTCGGGCTTCAGAAGATCCTGGATCGCAAGCAGTCATAGGCGACGACGTCACTGTGTGAAAAGTTCTGCAAGCTAGCAGACACCGATAGGGACCCTTCCACTAAATTTACTGCACGCGCATATTTTCAATGTGTAAGATAACTACAGCAAAGGAACTAGAGGTGCAATAAATTGTGGATTATATTAGTAGATCAACAATGTATGCTCGGAAACGTCTGTGAAAGGCCCTGCAAGTTAAAAGTTATTTGTGCCGTTATTTGGCTAGCACGCGGCAGATGGTAGAAATCGGGGCACTTCTTAAGCTTTCTTCGTGGTTATATATATATATATATATATATATATATATATATATATATATATATATATATATATATATATATATAATATAATATATATATATAATATATATATATATATATATATATATATATATATATATATATATATATATATATATATATAATTTTATAGACAAACGGAGACCGGAAAAATGTGGCAGCAGGGAGTGCCCTACTCGAACAGGGATGCTACGCGTGCCCTCACCAAGTCTTTGAGCTCACAGCAACACTTCAGTAAGCAATGATAGGGGGGACACGTACCTTCGCAGGAGTGATGGGGAGTTTGTCCAGCTGTTCTTGCATCATCTTCCGCAGCTCAGCCTTATCCACCTTCTCCGCTATTCGTTTCGTATTCGGAGAAGCACTTGTCTCCGTCAGAATGCCTCCTTCTTCCATTACAACATTCGGATCTAGTCGCTCATCTGGAGCCACATCTTCTCCCCATATTTCAGCATCGGGGATAGTTGCCCCTTCTGCGGCCATGCGAGCTGCATCAGCAGCAGCTGCTGCTTGAGACTGTACAGGTCGCAAAGTTCGGCATACGCAGTAAAAGCAAGAACTCAGCAGCCCATACTACTGACACGGCACTGTCAAATAGCTCAGCCCACTTGTGTTTCAGTGTCCAAGTTGGGCAAACGCAGTGGCCTCGCATACCGATTGCCATAGAATGAGCACAGGTAAATCTGTATGTGCTGCCTGCATCACCTACAGTAGGCCAGTACCTCACAAATTCTTGTGTGTGCCCCATGTACTAATTAAGTGGAGACTAACCTCAATCCATGCAAACCATTCTTCAAGGTAAGTTCCCTCCCAGTACTTTTCGGCGGCTTCTTCCAGTGATTCCTATAGTCCAAGGCAGCAAAGAACCATGGCAAATGCAAAAACGATACTTCAAATCAAACAGGCGCTGGCAAAACGTAGATTACCCCACACGAACCGGCTTCGGCCTACCTTTGGCTTGAAGTTCTCCGGCGGCCCTTTTGACGGATAACCCCACCTACACAGGAAAAAACAGCACGAAAAATACGATGCTCTGTTCTCAAATCAAACAGGAGGACTTTTCAACGGCGAGAACACAAATATTGGACTCTGAAGCATTAGAAGGCGTCGAAGTAAGGTCAGACGGGTTAATCTTTCGAAATCCTGCAAGCAACGTGTGGTTACCGATATGGGAGGCAGTAGCGCTTCCGATTTGTAGGTTCCCAAAACATAACCCATCCGCCAGCATGGCGAGTCATGACCCACGCGTGGTCTGTAGCGTATCCGTCAATAGTCCCTGCGCAATGCAAATATATCAAGTTCAAGCAGAAAGTAAGTCGTTTGGACCAGGAATAATTCAGCTACACGAAAGCAGCAACAATCACGAATGCTCTAAAGAGTACTCCAGGAGCAGCAGGCAAAAGGAAGCGAAAATAAGGAGCAGTCCACTCACTCCGTTGTGGTAGTGCACCCAGGGGGTTAGCGAAAGTTGCACTCCACCCGTAAATAATTATCAACTGAACATTTGTTATACGCTCATTATATTTGCTATATGATATGGTAATTACGTTTCAATTAAACATCTCAGCAAAAGCACTGTGTGTTTTCAGACGCCTGTGGCTTGGTTACCTTTACAGACATATGCGTCGTATTCCAGCCCAAGGAGGCAGCTGCATAGCAGGACTGCGTGGTCGTTCACTCCACCCCTGCGAGTCGTCAGGAGAGAGGCTGGGCTTTGCCACCTCTGGAACTCCCCGTCGCGCAGCTGTTTTGGGGAGAAAAGATAGGCGATGTTACTTAGCCAGTGCAGCAGCTCCCCCTCTACGGCTAGCTGAGCTGGCACGGCTATTGGCACCACAAATGACGGCAGCGGGAAAATCAAACGGCTCTGCGAATGCTCCGCTACACTAACAAACCGCCTTTCTTTTGGAGCCTCAGGGAACCACTGCAAATACATCTTTTGCCACCGCCGGAAATCCTTGTTCCACCGACGCTCGACCTGCATCCAGATATCGTTGGAATTTTTGACCTGCGCCAAAACAAGATTGCTTGACTCTTCCCATAACAGCCACTGTAAACCGTATGTGTACAATGAAGCCTAAAATGCAGACGGGCTGTGCACTGGCAATGAAGTACCTGCAGCCTGCTTATCAAGCCCTAGAACCCCTTGTAAAAGGATGCAATGCGCTACGTCACATAGGAGTTAGACAGCGCTCGTTCTGCTAGCTTACAACTGGCTGCGGAGGCATTTCAACATCTTCAGGCATCGGAGGAATAAAGAATACTTCGCACCAGAGCAAACTCCTGTCGCCACTTATCTGTGGCAGAGTAGACCCTTTGAGCTCTAGGGAACAGGAAAAAAAGGAGAAA